AAAGAAACACCCGGGGCAGACCCCGACGTTCGTCCTGCGTGAGAGGACCGATCCGTCCGTACGCCACACGTCGCACAATGCGGCAGCATGCCTCACTCTGCTCACCCGTTCAGAGGGGAGGGGTCTTCCGTCAAGTCGACACTGGCCAGGTCGGACGCTTCCGGCACCCAGACACCAACCTCGTTGACGAAACTGCACGCACACCCACCTATCACTTGATGTGATAGGCACTCAATGAGTTGTACTTGACGATGGCGCAACTGGTGAAGTCCACCGATTCCGATCTTTCATCGGTGATCTGAGATAAGTAGCAAGCGAGAACATCACAAACGTGCCACCAGTCAGCATAGACGGGCCTCTCTGACCGTAAAGAAGGTCAATGTGTCGACGGTCTGGTCATTGAGGGCCTCCCTGATGCACACGTTGAATCGGACAGTTTTGACATTCCTCCCTCCTTGCGGATCCTTAACCGAAACTGCAGGAAGAAGTCGTCGGTATTATCTGTTCGTACCGCATACACAGAACGTCGGCACCTTAGTGGCTCAAGATACTTCCTTCTCGCATACCGATCACAATGAAGTTGGGCGTCACCTCCGTGTCGTATTCCTGGCAACCCCACGAAAGTGGTGATTTTGCGAATGCATTAATGCGCAAGGGAGTTGGCCTTACTGCTGAGATTTCTCGCAGAATCAGCTCGGCTGTTTGCGCATTGAAATCCCGGATTTTGGGAGAGCTGGCGCCAGGTAGACCGACGTTGAGGACGCCCTCGTCGAGCACCTGCAATGGACAGAACTCCCACCTGGTCACTCAGTGCCCGTTCTCTGCGTGTCTACCCTCTCAAAGGTGCCTTCGGCGTCTTCTCGTGCAGGGTAGGACGCGTCACATTCTGGCAGGTCGAAGCTCGCAGCTGGAAAGGTCGTGTTCAGCAGGTCCAAATACTCTTCCGACTCGCGGACCTAGCGGATGGCAGGGAACACAGCGTGGTTTCGTCAGGAGGCAGACCGGCGGCACCTCACGGTTTTGATGGCTGTGCTAAGTGCTGCGTTGAGCTGCACGTCTCCAATGTCACCGGTCACGTAGGGATCCGCCGGCTCCTTGGTGCCTGCGATCGCATCCCGAAGTTCACCGACCAACTCCAGAAGTTCACCGAGAAACTGCGCCTTGCTGATCTCCGTGGGGGCGGCAGCCACCGATGGAAGCGACACAACGAGGGAGCAGAGAAGAGAGAACAACACGCTCACCGAGGGGGGGACCGACATGGGTCGATTATGTGGATGGCGAGAAGACGACAGTGTCACCTCCCCTTACTCGGTCGGTCGCAGCCTCGACGTCGGTGTCCGTTAAGTGTGACCCTTCGCATGCCGCCGTTGTGATGTACGCAACGGCCAGTCTTGCGAAGCCGGCCAACTTGAAAACGCAAAGTTATTCAGTCCCGCTCAGAAAACGGTGATGAGCCGATAATTCGTTACAGTAAGTATCGCCTAAAGCAATCAGTACAGGGGTGATTGCTTTATGCGTTTGATTGGTTTATACGAACAAGCCAATGATTGCTTTATCTGCTCCTTGTTTTCTGCGGGGTTTCTCGCCGTGAATGACTCACCAGAGCCACCCTCCATCACATTGACTCTTTTTTCCCCGCTCAAAACGACTCTGAAACGACGAAAACCATCCAATCACTCACATTCGATCCGCCTGCGGTCTGAATGTCTCCTGAGTGTCTGATTCACCCTCCACCAGCTAGTGATTCAGCCTGAGCTATTTTGCATGAAAAATCGTCGTCAGTCCATGGAAGAGGAGTCATCAACATGACGTCAGTGGGCCCACGACGCCATGCACAAAAGGCATGGACAGCAGACAAGACAGCATGCATGCCATAAATCGGTCAAAGTTCCTGGGCGGCCGCCGCCTGCAGCAGTGAATGCATCAGACGAAATGGGTTGGTGGATGGGTGGGTGGGTGGGTGGGCGGGCGGGTGTGAGGGCAAGGGAGGGAGACTGGACGGCAACTACAGTACTGGACGGTCACATCAGCCCCGCAAAAACGTGTGTTGGGCTGGATGAATGTCATCAGATGCCTCAGATGACTCATCTGACTCTCCTGTGAGTCACCAATGGGCCCTTGTTGCCTCGCAAGTGAAGCACCGCTGCTCTTCCATTTACATAGTGCTCATTCTTCTTGACTTTCTGGACAACACGTGCGTTGCGGCAGACCTCAGGAAGTCGGTCGACGGCTGCGTCGTGGTAGTGGAGGAAGCGCTGATGGGCAAGTTCTCACCTATGACTTCGGCCACCATTGCTCCTGTTTGGTCGCCACCTTCATCAGCAGGTGAACAGGGAAACGCGCCATCACCACCACGCGAGTCGATGATGCTGTGGCTGTCGTGTGCTCTGTCCCGGCAGAGCACGTGGCTGCGAATAGATGGGGCAGTCGTTGGCATCCCTGTAGATGTCCAGATACCAGAAACGACCACGTCTAACAAGCGGGTAGCGGTCTCCTCTCCTTGTTGCGGTCATATGGGCTGCACCGGGGCCAATAAGAAACTCGATGCAGTATTGATCCACCAGGTGAGCGACGGAGAAGAGATTGAACTTCAGATCAGGCACATACAGCACACCATCCACACACACGGTCTTCTTGCCGTTGTTGACCTCTTTGCAGGTGTACTTGATGCGGCCGACTCCTCTGGCTGGTACGGACGTGCCATCGGCCATCACGATCTTGATGTGTCGGTCAAGCGGCTTGATTTCGTCGAAGAGAAACTGCTGGTGGCAGCATGTCTTGCCGGCTCCTGAATCGATCATCATGGAGGTAGATCTCACAGACACACCACTGACGTTGACCACCTCTTCCTCGCACTTAACGGCCGTGACGGTCCCCACCATTTCCAGCACAAGTGCGAGGTGTGTATCCAAGCCAAGATGAAGATTCGTCCGTACCTGGGAAATGCATTCCGCCATTCGTCGCCTGGTGATCTAATGCACGTCGACCTGGCGCAGGTCAAGCAACTCAGCGAGAGAGGGTTCAAGTACCTGATGGTCATGGTGGACGACCACAGCCGTTATGTGCAGGCCTACTTTCTCAAGAAGAAGTCCATCGCACCGAAGGCATTTATGCACTACTGCACGGCCGTCCGCATGCCCAAAGCAGTGAGAACCGATGGAGGGGCCGAACTCATCGCCGGCACATGGAAGGCATTCTGTGAGCAGCACCAGATACGCCAAGAACAGAGCCTACCACACCATCAGTCACAAAACGGCGTGGCAGAACGAACGATTGGTGTGGTGTGTTAGCTGACCCGTGCAGCACTCTTCCAATCTGGCCTTCCCCCGTCTTATTGGTGTTTTGCTGCGACGACCGCCACCTACATCAAGAATCGAATGCCAACCAAGAAAAATCAATCAGAGAAACGCCATTTGAGCTTTTCTGGGGTTATCCGCCATGCATCAGGCATATCCGCACATTCGGCGCGAGAGCATATGTGCATCAGCGAAAGGACCAGAGGGGCAAGCTGGAGCCACGGGCCAAGCTGGGCATCCTCATCGGCTTCGACCTCAATACGAAGGATGGCTATGTGGTGTGGTTACACGATGATGGTCAATTCGTCATCTCACGAGACGTCGAAGTGGACGAGCACGTGTTTCCTGCAAAGGAGAAGCAAACAAGGGGACCACTAGGGATTGATTTGGTGTACCCCCAGACGCCCGTCTCATCTGATGAGCAGACCGACCACCATCAAGACCACCATCATGCCCAGCAACCCAAAGATGACCGACATCGGGAGCATCAAGACCATGAGCGTGTCGACCAACACAACCAAGATCAAGAGCCTGACAGCTCTGCACCGCTCGAAGGACCGCCAGCACCACCAGCGGTACCGCCGGCCGCTCAAGATGCCCAAGATGGAGAAGAAGCCGCCGTGATACCGATGGAGGTGCCGCTGACAACTACCGAGTCATTCGAGAGGAAAAGAGGGCAGATGACGACAACGCCGAGCACCGAAGATCAGGCCGAAACCGCCTCATCCCTCGGTGGCTGTACGAGGACAATATCTTTGCCGTCATCGAGCGCCTTTCTGTTGCTGACGATGTGGACGACACGAGTCCAAGCCGGATCGTCGACACCGACGCACCAGCAGCACTAGCGAGGCCACCGTCATCGCAACAGACCCGCCAACCACTCCCGATGGCACAGCACTTCGCATCCAAGGTGCCCAGGACCTACCAACAAGCAATGAACGCATTCGACGCCTGTCACTGGCAAGATGCGATGGATCGGGAGATGTAATCGGTCACTGATCTGGGTGTGTTCGGATAAATGCCCCGCTCTCAAGCGACCAGTCGGCCGATATCCTGTCGATGAGTGTACGCCCTCAAGCCTGACAAGTACAAGGCCCGCGTCGTCGCCCGCGGATTCGAACAGGACAAGAACCAAGTGGAGAACGTGTTCGCCCCGACGCCCTCTTACCACATTGTGCGAGCAGTTCTGACCATCGCCAATCAACTCGATCTGGAGATTCACCAAATGGACGTCAACACAGCATTTCTAAACGCGCCGCTCGACAAGCCAGTGTTCATGGAGTGCCCACCTGGATACGAGCGCCCGAGATATGTTGTCCGCCGCCGGAAGGCCCTTTATGAACTCAAAGATGCCGCGCGCGCGTGGAACTCACCCTCCACAACCAACTACTGCATCTCGGCTTCCGCCGT